AGATTGGGAAGAATTGCAACAGCAAGCGGCAGCGATACGTCTATGTTTATGTATCACGTGATGAATCTGAAATCTCCATGGGAGATTTAGAAGAAATTGGAAATTCAGTTTATGGCAAAATCTCTGACGAACAAGTTGTATCTGAAGCAAAAACTGTATAAGCTAAAGACGCAAGCTAAAGACGCAGGAAGATTCTGATATGGCGCAACACGTGAATGACTTCAATCAAATAATCACGAATTTATCACGACTTGATGTGAGTATTGATGATGAAGATCGAGCGATGTGATGAAGATCGAGCGATGAAGATCGAGCGATGATTTTGTTGTATTCGTTGCTCTCTTTTTATGAACACCTGGTAACTACTCTGACATATGGGAAAGAGACTATCAAAGTTGATGAGATTACTGCAACTTTGTTGGCTCACAACCAGCGGAAGCAGAATGCAAGGGAAAACCCTCACGACAACAGTTTATATGTTAAGGGTAAGCAGGATCGTAGAAGGAAGAAAGAGAAGGAGGGTCTTGGAAGGTGAAATTCCAGATAGAAGTCCAAAGGCAAAAAGGCAATTCATTGCTACAGTTGCAAGGAGTTAGGTCATATGAAGCGAGATTGTCCAAAGCTGAAGAAGCAGACTGAGGAGAAAGGTGATGTATCATCGAAGTCTGTAAATGTGGTGCAGAGTGACAATTCAGATCGTTGTGATGGTAATATGCTTTCAGTTTCATTTACTCAGTTCACGGATGCATGAATTCTGGATTCTGGGTGCTCTTATCACATATTATCTGACAGAGAGTGGTTTATTTCATACATGTTAACTAATTCTGGCTCGATTTATTTGGGTGATGATAGATGCTGCAATATTGTTGGTATTGGAGAAGTCAGAATTCAGATGTATGATGACACAATTAGAACGTTATGTGATGTCAGAAATATTCCAGATTTGAAGAAGAATCTGATTTCCTTGGGCACACTACGCATAAATGGTTTTATTCCTAAGACAGATGAGGATAGGGAAACCATCAGAATTGTTAAGGGTGCACTGACGGTCATCATAAAGGGAAAATTAACTGCATACAATATCTACAAACTGTTAGGGAAGATTTACATGGAGCAGATGAATGTTAAAACTGTTTTCTTGCATGGTGATCTGGATGAACAGATTTACATGGAGCAGCCAGAAGGGTTCACTCAACCTGGACAGGAGCATCTGGTTTGCAGGTTAAAGAAATCTCTGTATGGGGTGAAAAAGTCTCCAAGACAATGGTACAAGTGGTTTGACTCCTACCTGATTCAGATTTACATGATTCATATACATGTAAATTTGATTGTTTAGCGGGCAGATATGTAAATATATAGGAATTATGTGGCAAGCACGTAAAGGCCCCTTTATATTAATGGTGATTAGTTGTATGCTTAAATTGAATTTTGAATCCGTCCAATAAATAAACATCTCTTATATAATACTCACGATAAATATAACTAATTCATATGAATTTACATAACTAACATCTAAACTTTTATAAGTCGCCTCATTTGTGCATCAAAAGATTCATTTCACTTTTTAATAATTAAACTAGTAATATTTTGATGTGATATTATAATTTTTCGGTGGTATAAATGTAAAAAGATATATATAAGCAAAATTACTTTGATGCTTCATGAATAATCACAATTCTTATATATTTACTTTTCTAACTCTTAAAAGTTGAAAAGTGGCAATCTACAGAGTTCAGGATTCTATAGTAACTTGATTCTTTGAAGGTGTCAAGTTGGTTCCCGCTCGGAATTCTACCTGACAACTGATGGTAAGATAAGCCGAGATAATTCAACTAACTTTGCTTCACAATGCTCTTCGGAATTTCCCCTGAGAAATGGTTACTCGATAGATCTAAACTTTATAAGCTTTGCATATCACCAATATTGATACTGATTTGTCTCGTGAATTCATTTCTCGATGAATTCAAGCTTATCAATCCAACTAAGCTCATTAGTTCAATAGGAACCTCTCCAATGAGATTGATACAAGAAAGTTCTATAATGTTCACAAGAGAGAGTTTGTCTATGAATTCATGATCTAATCCTTTTATATTAATCATTAATATATTTGTCCAAGATATACTAGTAGCGGTATCAAAAATCTCATCACCTCGTTTAAATTTGTTTTGATAAGTAACAATGTTGCTGGGAATTAGAAGTTGAAGCCTTTTATTTTGAATAGAAGCTCATTAGTTCAATAGGAACCTCTCCAATGGGATTGATACAAGAAAGTTATATAATGTTCACAAGGGAGAGTATGTCTATGAATTCATGATCTATTCCTTTTATATTAATCATTAATATATTTGTCTAAGATATACTAGTAGCGGTATCAAAAATCCCATCACCTCGTTTAAATTTGTTTTGAATTATTGGGAATTAGAAGTTGAAGCCTTTTATTTTGAATAGCCATTGAATTGAGAAGCTTAAAAGATTTTGGGGTTGGCCCCGAAAGAAAATTATCTGCATTATCAAAGATTTGAAGTCCTTTTAGTTTGGGTAGCTCTGAGGGAATGGATCCATAAAATTTGTTTGACTATAAACACAAGTTTTTAGGGATAATAATCTATCTTCAATCCATGAAGGTATGTTTCTTGTAATATAATTTTGTCTGAAATGTAAATATCAAATTGTAAGTGTTAGATATATGAATTCATAAGAATTGTGTGGTACATACGTAAATGTGACATGAGTCATAAACGTCATAGTTGATTGACTCATTACATTGATAATGAAGGTTTGGCCTTGACTTGGACTTCATCGTGCGTTTGCCTTTCCAACAAAACTTAACATAAATAAAGTATTAATTAATTAATGAGATTAATATTAGCTTTGCTATGGGGGATCCAAATATTGAATTTTAATATATTTTTAATGTAATTTTTATGACCTAATACAATATACCATCCTAGCATCCAACTATTTTGAAGCATAAATATGAATTTCAAAATAATTGATCGATGACATACTATTACTAATAAAAAATCAGGCTCGTTTTAACTTATAACTTTAACATATATTATTAATGGGAATAATTTGACTTGATAATACTTTAATCTACTTTTATCACCAACATAGTCTCAAGCAACTCAACGATTCAAAGAGAAATGCTGCCTTGAAAGAATGAAATATTAGTACAACACAATATTATATACATTAGGATCACAAACAACACTTATGAAATAACTCAAATACATAAATGATCATCGTTTAATTATGTTATTTATTGATTAAACCACTGATTCACTTTCACATTGACAAATACATAAATATTATTTATCACTTTATCAAGGAATTGGAAGTAAGTGCTCGCCCAAGACCTCTTGAGCAATAAGGTCCCCAATACAGTCCATAGTCCAACAGTGAAACCAAGTCCCATGCCGAGGAACAAACCAAAATCATCATCATCTTGAAAATTGCCTCCTTCGCCATGTATTTTATGTTCATCACCTTCGCAAGTCTTATGTAGTGGTTTTCCACAAAGTTTTGGATTTCCGTAGTAAATTGATTCATTAAAAGTGTCAAGTTGGGTCCCCGTCGGGATTCTACCAGACAATTCATTATAGGATAAATTGAGATAACTTAACGCACTAAGCATCACAATGCTTCTTGGAATATCTCCTGAGAAATGGTTCCTTGAGAGATCCAAATTTTCTAAGCTTTGCATAACACCAATTTTATTTGGTATCTGTCCCGTGAAGTGGTTTCTCGATAAATTCAAGCTCATCAATCCAACAAGGCACATTAATTTAGTAGGAACTTCACCAGTGAGATTATTAGAAGAAAGATCTATAATTTTCACAAGAGAGAGTATGCCTTTGAATTCATAAACTATTCCTTTTATACCGATCATTATTGAATCAGGTATAAAATTCATCGAAGTTGAGAAGTAATGGCCCGAATTTAGAGTTATTTGACTATCTTGAGGAATTAGAGTTTCAAGCCTCTTATTTTGTATAGTCATTGAATTGAGAAATTTAAATGATTTTGGGATTGAACCTGAAAGGAAATTTTTTCCAAGATCCAAGATTTGTAGATCTTTTAGTTTGGATAGCTCCAAGGGAATTGATCCATGGAATTTATTTGAGTGTAAGCGTAAGATCTTTAGGGACAATAAATTTTCTCCAATCCATAAAGGTATACTTCCTGTAAGATAATTTTCTCCCAAGTCAAGGGTAATAAGCTTGTTGCAATTTTTGAAAAGTGGGATCTCCCCTCGGAAAACATTGTTGTTGAGGTTCAATGATAATAACCTCTGTAGGTTCCCTATCCAATGTGGAATTGAACCACTCAAGTTGTTGTATGACAGGCTGATAAACTTTAGCATCTTATAGCTGGAAATATTACCATTGCATTTTGGAATTTCTCCCGAAAGATTGTTGTGTGATAAGTCAAGAAGAACTATTGAAGACATTTGACATATAGATTTAGGGATTTCACCTGAGAGATGATTTTGAGAAAGGTCAAGCACTACCATCAAACTCATGTTCCCGTTTAGATATAACTCAGTTCCGCTTGAGAACTTATTGTTTGAAAATGATACAAAACGTACAAAATTCATTAGCCATGGAAGGCGCCCTTCCAATTGATTTGATCTTAAGTCGATAATTTCCACCAATGCAATATTCAATGACATTGGAAGTTCACCTCTAATTGCATTTTGAGACATGTTCAAGTAATTTATTTGAGATGATATATTCCAAAACCAACCAAAACCAACTCGGAATGCGGAATGATATCAGTAATACCACAATTGGAGAGGTCAAAAACGGAAAGGAGCTTTTGATTTTGAAGCCATAGCGGGAATTGAGGACCAACGAGGCAAGAACTTAGGTAAAGATAACGAATTTGAAATGGCGGAGTCCAATTAGGACTAATCAGGTTAAAATTCAATTGATTACCTGAAAGTTGTAGGTTTATCAATTGTGATAGATTTGCAAAATGAGATTCAGAGAGACTACCATGCAAATTATTGGAACCAAGATCCAAAGTAACTAAGTTACTCAGTTGTCCAAGGCTGTGTGGAATAAGTCCATCAAACTGATTATTTCCAAGCTGATTATTTCCAAGAAAAAGGTAAACTGATTATTTCCAAGAAAAAGGTGTGTTAAATTTCTCATATTTCCAACCCATCCAGGTATGCTTCCGCTCAGTTGGTTATAGGAGATATCCATTATTATCATTTTATATTCTTTGCATTTTAAAGCAGTTCCATCATCACTTAATTTTGTAAAATTATTATAAAATTATTATGTGAAAAAACATTGAGATCACATAATAAGCTTAAAGAGGCAAATGAGATAGGTCCTGTAAAAAAGTTTGAATCGAGATATAATTCATTTAATCTTATGAATTGTCCTGACCAGTTTGGAAAACTTCCAATAAGATGGTTGTAACTAAGATCAACTAATTCAATGGATGATGAAAAATTAGAATATGGAAGTAAATTTGGAAGTGTTTGTAGCCCACATGATGACAAATGCAAAGTGGAGAGAGCTGGAAGCACACTAATCTCATGTAACCAATTCGTAGCGAATGTTAGATTTAGATTCGACATTTCAACGAATTGTAAAGAGAAGAGGTGTGACATCCATAAGAGGTTATAAGCAACTAGAGAATTATAACTAAGATCAAGGTATCTAAGTTTTGTCAAGTTTCCAATATGAGGTGGAATTTCTCCGGCAAACCCCGAATGGGAGAGATCAAGATAGCGCAATTTAGTGAGGGAACCAATAGAATGAGGGATCCTAGTTTGATTAAAGAGAATGTTATTGAAGCACAAATATTGCAAATGTCGTAAGCGAAAAAAAGATGGATGTAATGATGCAGCATAAAATAAATCTTGAAAAACAGAAAAATTGAGCTTGATGACCCGATTGGTTTTATTACTACAACTCACTCCCTTCCACGTGCAACAATCCTCGTCTATATCCCAATTCGAGAGAACGAGGTTGGGATCAGATAGACTTTGCTTAAAATCAAGAAGGGTTTCTCTTTCCTCAGCACTACAATGTTGGTTCACCTTGGAAATAGCGAAGCCACCCTCGCTTTCTGCTCTCAAGCAATAGAAAGATAAAGTAAAGATAAAGAGTAGAGGAAGCTGAACTCTTTCCATCAGAGTTGGCATGATTCTGGCTCTCTTTCTATCCCTATTTATATCACATTGGTTGGAAGATATCTCCAAAATTCTTTTTGAGCCACTTTAATATATAATAGAAGAGTATAAATATGCTTTATGTCTCCTAAAGTACTAAGTATTTAATCTTAATTTCAATTCAATCAAATCAAGTCACTATCAGCAATATTTAAAAAAGGGGCATTTACATATATACCACACAATTCTCATGTGCTTACGTGTCATTCTTACTAACATCTTAAATCTGATCGAATGCATATTTTTTTGCATAAATATATAGCACAGAAGTGTTTTAAATTTAAATATCAATTTGTAAGTGTTAGATATATAAATTCATAAGAATTGTGTGGTACTTATGTTAATTTTCCTTGCAATTATTGATTTGATAAATTACTTGTAAATGAGACATCAGCCATAGTCATCGTAGTTGACTGACTTACCGCATTGACTGACTTACTACATTGATAACGAAGGTGTGGCCTTGACTTGGGCTTTCTCATGTGAGCCTTTCCACGAAACTTGCATAAATAAAGTAATAATTAATTAATTAGATTAATATTAACCTTACTATTACGGATCTAAATATTCAATTTTAATATATTTTTAATGTATTATTTTTTAATATTTAAAAAAACATAATTTTTTTTTTTTTTTAAGATTGGTGAAAGACTATTAGACCAAGTTTGTGTGCCTAAAAATTACATTATGTAGATAGGCGGGTATGTGCCACTTTTAAAAAACATGAGTTGAATCATGAGCTGAACTCGTGTTGATTCATGAGTCGACTTGACTTTGTTACTCCCTAACATAGACCGACTTAATGCATTGATTATGGCCCCAAAAACTTTTCTAATAATGGTGAATAGAGCTATTCATATAATTAATTTTGAGTCCCAATCGATCATTGGCCTTCTCCCATACAATACGTAAGCTATATATATAATTATTTAAATTATAAATGAAAGCAACAATAATAAAGTTTTAAGTAATTCATAATTTTTACATGAAATGGTTGAAAATGGAAAAATAATTATGGCCAATTGATATAACACAAGCTTCAGCTACAATAAGAAAATATTGGGGAATTAGTGAATGGTGATGATGATAGTTAAGAGATAAGAGACGATCAATAGACATCAATATGATCGATAAATAATAGTGGTCAGGATACGGTTGCTTTTATCTGCTTTACTGTATTTCTTACCTGTACTTACTTACTCTGCATGCAAAAGCAAAACAAAATTGCACTTCCAAAATTAAAACTTCACTTTCAAAACAATAAATGAACATAACACAACCCTTTTGATTTACGAGGGTTTCTCGGATGAGGTAACCTACAGTTGCTAACGGTGATTATCCGGTCTAAATGAGCCTAACAACTCATTTAGACTTAGTAAAATTAAAAAAAAAATAATGAGGCCTGAATGCGGGAATCGTGGGATCATAATCAGTGTTGCTCAAATTAGATTAAAATTTTTCCAAACAAGACATTTGAACAACAACATCAACAACAACAACCAAAACACTAAAACATACTGGGTAAAATTTTTTGAACTTTAGAGTTTAGTATTGCTACTTCAATGAGAAGCTTGGAGCAAACATCGTGAGTAGCACGACAAGGACAAAAAAAGGAACGTCTTTGAGAGAGCAAACGAGTCTACAACAGCAAATCCTTTCCTTAGTTTAAATAACAAGTTATAGGACTTTGAGATGGTCTGTCTAGTACGACATAAATCCTCAACCTATCTTTTAGGCCTTTGTACAGTCATGTTGTGCAATATAATCACTAACTCGCATTAGGATTCTAAGGTCGTCATATTGATGACGTAAATCCTTCTATCATCCAGGTCATTTGTATGATCAGTATCATGCAAATGTAAGCCCTAAATAATAAAACTGGCAAGACGGAATATCAATAATCTCTTCAAAATTAAAGTCAAACCATATGAAAATTTGGGAAGTCAATGAGGCTCTCCTTAGGATTTGTGACATCCCCTATGTGTTCTCTTTTGAATTTCCTATGTTCGACCTTGAAAATCCTAAATTTTGAATTCATGAAGACAATCCCTCTGATCTAAATCAATAGTTTTCTTAGATGACTTTGGTTGACTAAGCTGTAATTAACTATAGGGCATTGCCCTTATAGGAAACCTTAAGAACTCAACTTAATATAAACTCTATCTGATTTTTAATATTAGATAGAAGAACTTATCGGACAACATAAAGGTCTCACAAATCAAAATGAATGTCATAAATTTTGTAGTTTATTTAATCATGCTTTATGACTCCTAATGTACTAAATAATTTAATCTTAATTTCAATTCAATTAAAATAAGTCTCTATGAGCAATATTTAAAAGAAGGGGTATTTACATGCATACAACACAATTCTTATTTATTTACATATCTAACACCTAAACTTTAATATTTAACATCACATTAAAAATATCATTCTTACTTACTACTTAAAACTGAACAAAAGCATTTTTTTTTTTTGCATAAATATATAGTAACAAAGTGTTTTAAATGTAAATACCAAGTTGTTAGTGTTAGATATATAAATTCATAAGAGTGGTGTGGGTACATAAGTAAATTTTCCTTGCAATTACTAATTTGATATATTATGTGTAAATGAGACATGAGCCATAACCATCTCAGTTGACTGACTTTCCGTATGGACTGACTTGTTGCATAGATAATGAAGGTGTGGCCTTGATTTGGACTTCGCCGTGTGTTAGCCTTGCCAACGAAACTTACATAAATAAAATAATTATTAATTAATTAATGAGATTAATATTAGAATCACGAGCTGATGTGTCGAGTAGGGTTGTCTTAAGCTAGGCCTTTTAGCTCATTGAACTCAACTTGCCAACTTCTAATCAAGAAAAACTCGAGTTGATTCATGAGTCGACTTGATTTTGTTACATACTTACTTAGACTGACTTGATGCATTAATTATGGCTCAGCATTATATAGCTGAAGAAGAAAATTTTGAGGAATTGAGACAACAGGCAATCAATAGACATCATTGTGGTTGATAACCAATGGTGGTTAGGAGACGGTTGCCTTGTGGAGATAGGCAAGCGATGGTAGTTGAAGAACATTTAGTGGATGACAGTGTTTAGATAAAAACATTCTAATGATGACGATCAAAAAATGATGTTCATATAATTTGAGAGATAATGATCACTGTCAATATGAATCATCAACATCTAATATCAGATAGAGCTCAAGAATTCTTTAATATTATGGCTCTCTTAAATAGTATCATGATCAGGTTTTTACTAATACGCTAGACCTTGAATTTTAGTATTGTTGCTAGCTTCACACTCCTCAAATATGTGTATTAATGTTATATATTTATTTAACATGTGTTCTTATATATATATATATATATATATATATATAAACAAAATCATATGTATGGCCTTTGGGTTTTCAGAAGTCAATTCAAATTGATTGCCGTTCACGCAACGATCCAATGATTTTCATACATACTACTCAACTTCCATGTACTTACATACATAAATGTCACGGTGACCCATTCTTGAAAATAGGGGTGTAAACGAGTCGAACAAGAGCGAGCCATGCTCAAACACGGCTCGTATATATTTCGAGCTCAAAAAGTGTGTTCGTGTTAGGCTCGTTTGCTTAACGAGTCGAACACGAGCTGTTCACGAACAAAGAGTCATTTTAACAACCCTAATCATGTAGTCATAAGACAATAAGAGTTTGAGCAAGATTTAAAAATTATTATTTATATTAAAACATATTTGAATCTAATTTAATAATTTTTATTCTATTTTCTTAATCAATATTTTAATTGGTTATAAATCTTTGTTTTTTAGTCAATTAGATTCTTTTAAAAAACTTTATATATATATATATATATATATAAACTTGCAATCACGAGCTGATGTGTCGAGTAGGGTTGTCTTAAGCTAAGCCTTTTAGCTCATCGAATTCAACTTGCCAACTTCTAATCAAGAAAAACTCGAGTTGATTCATGAGTCGACTTGATGACTTGATTTTGTTACTTCCTAACTTAAATTGACTTAACGCATTAATTATGGCTCAGCATTATATAGCTGAATAAGAAAATTTTGGGGAATTGAGACAACAGACAATCAATAGACATCATTGTGGTTGATAACCAATG